ACCCCACTTTCTATCTGCTTGGTTACCCTTTTTTTTTAAAACATTGAGTTTAGTGAATAATGTTTACCGTTTTCATTAAGTAAGCCTATCTCTTGTGAAATGGTAATTTTTTTATAAATACTTAAATTATATAGACTGATATCTTGATTATTTTCAATTTAATTTACATTGAGTTTAGTGAATAATGTTTACCGTTTTCATTAAGTAAGCCTATCTCTTGTGAAATGGTAATTTTTTTATAAATACTTAAATTATATAGACTGATATCTTGATTATTTTCAATTTAATTTACATATTATTCTTTTTATTTTTTGCCATAAATTACATCTTCATCTTTATGGAATATTCCCAAATCATGAACCCTTGGACATAGATCTAACAATTTATTTTTGGCTGACCTGAGATCCATTTATTTAATTAGTGACATTTTTGTTTTTGCAATTTGATACCCACCTACATGAAATTTGCACATTAAAATCGCAACGAATGTTTAAGGTAATCTTATAATTAATGATTGTTTGATACGTATGATAAAATGAAATAAAAAAACTTAAATGAAAAAAGGGGAAATCACTCTTATTTTTTCCAAGTAGATAACTAAAAGAGGTCATTATAATTGAATAAGTATCCCATCGGCAAAAAAAAAAAAAAAAGAATTGTAATACCATTTTTTGATATGACTATCATTAGATCAAATTTAAATACTCCGATGATCCTTAATATAAGACCCATTTAACTAATTTGATTAGATTAAGGAAGCTAGATAAATTAGTTAATTATAAGAAATGTGACACGTTTTTCCTAAAACACCATGATCATCTTTCTTAATATCCCATTTTCCTCTTTTACTTGATTATGGTTGATGGAGTATCCATAGGGGTAATTTAGAGAAAATTGATAAATATGAAAAATGGGTCTTATATTTAGGACCAAAACCAACTCAGTAATTGGGTCCTATATTAAGGACCGGAGGAGTATTATCTATTATCTAACTATGTTAGATTTAAGTATTGTTGAGTCCAATTAGGACTATCTAATTGATCAAATTCAATATTTTAAACCCAATTGACGTAATTCTTCTAAAAATATTTTCTGTATTGGCATAGGTTTAGACTTGAGATCTCCTGTGAAATGGTTAAAGCCTCTCCTACTAAAACTGACACTTTTTGGTTGTTCAAATCAAATTTTAATGTTTGGTAAAAAAAAAAAAATCAAATTTTAATGACGTCATAATCATAGGTACTTCTAAAAATTAACAATATATTTGTACTTTATATTCTTAGATGTGATTATGTGAATGATTTCCAATTTATTATTAATTATTGTTCTTAAGAGTAGAGTTGGTGCGAACTAGAAAATCAATATATATTTGATCCTCAAGCAAATTGCAAACCACTGGACAATATTTTCTCCCTGGCCGAATCTTGCTCTAGGACGTGCAAGTGCAACTTTGTTTTGTTTCTATATTAAAAAAAATTAATAAAAATTGATGATATTTATGAATGATTTACTATAAAAAGTTCAACTGATTTTTTTAAATTAATTTATCCCTATTTTTCTAATTTCGAGTAAAGTACATCTGATTTTTGTGCACAATACATGCATAATAAAATATTGTAACCTACACACTCCCTCACACAAATACATGATAAATTTACTACTTCATTCATTCAAGTAATTTTTGGAAGTCAAGAACACAATCATATTATTTTATAGGGTACGTAACATCACAATGTTAATATTATTTTTCATTTATATTCAGTATTTTAATTTTATTTATGGCAATTCTAGCATCCTAATATTATTTTTCCCGTATTTTCAGCACCCTAATATTATTTATAGTGTATCAAGTATCTTAAATTATAAATAAAATTAAGATTATGAATGTACCTAGAAAAAATAGGATCACTCATTATATATTAGATTTTTGTCCTCTTGAATGATTACTTTAGTAACATGGTACTACTCCTCTAGTTCTTAATATAAGACCCAATTATTGAGTTGGTTTTGATTCTAAATATAAGATCTATTTATCATATTTATCAACTTTTTCTAAATTATCTCTATGGATACTCCTTCAAATATAATCAAGTAGAAGAATAAGAGTGGGTATTAAAAAAGATATTATGGTATTTTAGGAAAAACGTGTCATATTTCTTATTATTAACTAACTTGCCTAATTTTTTAATCTAATCAAATTAGTTAAATGAGTCTTATATTAAGGACCGGAGGAGTATATTATTTTTGGTCGAATCTTAATTTTCTAATTAAAAATGCAGTAAATTTTTGGTGGGAAAATTAACTCAACTTCAAAATGCATTGTTTCCTTTTTTCCTAGAAAGAAAAAATTGTGACATGAACCACACAAACCTGAAGCGCACTTTTAAAAATAAATTGACTTTTTTTAAAAAAAAAAAAAAATCTCATGAACAGACATACGTTCGAATGACATTAGTTAGATAACTATTAAGAGTTGAGAAAGAAAATGTTTACATGACTATTTTTTATTACATCAAATTAGATTATAGTTGTGTTCCAAAACTGGTCATTATGATAAAATACACCTTATAAAAGAGCTTGTTCAAATACTTATAAACTATTATCAATGAAATATTTGGATTAAGATCAAGGAACATCAAATTCTTGATTTCAAGTTCTCTAATCCATATGTTCTATTTCTAAAATATTATCATATAATTATAAACTTACGTAAAAAAAAACAAGAAGAATACTCAACATATAACCACGTGTGATTAGAAAATTAACATAATACATATAAAAATTTTGACATAAGCATTTTCCAAAATCAAATCAGCCATGGAATCAATTAAGATAGTGGTCTGAATGCCAATGGTCTAACCATAATTGAACTAAGGGGTAAACTTGTTCATAACTACAATTTAATTAATCAACAACTGAATGAAACATGGGCCATCCATTAAAAATTTTATTGGTGGGGAGGACTTAAATAATACTAATAATATGTGTAATGTACAAAATTTACAGAATAGCAGCACTTTCTTTTTATAAAGCTTATCATGTCATTCTTGTTAATAAAATTTTTAATGGGAGACTTTCACCATTCCCATAAAACTACATATAATCTTTTTTTTTTACCAGAAATAAAACTGCATATAATATAATTAGTCGATTTGATGAATTAGATTTTAATACTATGATTATGACCATTATTAAACATAAAGATCTCATGTTCCACTCAAGTTCTTATTTGGATCACAAAATACCATCATGTTTTTTTTTTGAGCTGAAAAAATACCATCATGTCATAACCAGGAAAGAGGGAGAGAAATATATATATATATATATATATATTCCTCAAGTCCTTAATAAACATCTATTTAATTAATTTGATTAAAGAAAAATTTAGTAAGTTAGTTAATTATAAAAAATATGATATATTTTTCCTAAAACACCATAATCATCTTTCTTAATATCCTCTTTCCATTTTCTACTTAATTATGATTGAGGGAGTATCCGTAGAGGTAATTTAAAAAAATTGATAAATATGATAAATAGATCTTATATTTAAGACTAAAATCAATTCAACAATTAGGTCCTATATTAAGAATCAGAAAAGTATATATATATATATATATATATGTATATGAGAGGGAGAGAAGTGTGTGCGTGCGTGCGTGCGCGCGTGCGTGCGTGTGTGGAGAGAGAGAGTTTGGTGCTTTGACGTCCAAGGCCCGGCGGCAACACTTCTTCCTTCTTCCGTATTCTACGGTGACAGCCAACTTCCACATAACCACGACACCCTCTTTAATTGACTATTTTTATTTCTTTTTCTTTTGCTGTTTCTGAATTATACCATTTCATTATACTGCTGATTAAATATTCGGAAATAAAAATTTAAAAACAATTTTTAAGGCATTGACAAAATATAGCACTTGGTTAAAAAGGGACAATATGTTGCAATTTAAAGTTTATTACATTTCATCCAATGCCACTCTCCAGTAAAGAGAATAATTTAAGAACTAATTATACGGAAAAAAATTTTATATTCAATATTTTTTAGCAAAAAATTTAACTTTAAATAAAGGAGCTAGCTGTTTTAAATTCTTAACTGGAGTTTTCTATTTCAATTTTTCAATTTTTATTTTTATTTTAATAGCATTTGTAATAACTAGATGATGAACACTTGTGCTTGGTTACATAGAATTTGAAGTGAATTATATTATTAATAATTTATAAACGTGGGTTGCATAAATTTTTAGTTATGTCAAGAGATTTAAACCTTAAACTTTTAATAAAAGATGTCCAATTTTTGAATTTTAATAAAATATACTGCCTCCTGTCTATAAGAGCTCGTTTGATTTTTATTTTGGTCCTAAATATGAGACTCCAATCCATTTTGTCTCTCATATTTATCTATTTTTATCCAAGGTAGTTTTTGTAATAATGGTAGTTTTAATCAATATACTTAATTAATAAAGATAGTTTAGGAAAGATAACACCTATTTATTACAAATAATTAATTTAACTAATTTTTTTAATCTATACATATTAGTCAAATAGCTGAAATAGCTTTTCTATTAATATTCAACTGATTTGATTATTTTAACAAATAACAAGTAGTTTTAAAATGAAAATAAAAGTAAGAAATTAAGGGTTTTTTTTTTTACCAGCGTAAGAAATTATTGCTCTTTCGTTTTTATTCATCCTTTTTATCTAGTGCTTTCCATGCTGGAAATAATTTTTATTTTCAAAATTAAAAAAACTTACTGGATTTTTTTTATTTTCTTATATTTTAAAAATATTATATAGGTACTATAAACTTAAAGAAATTAAAATGAAGTTTCAACTTTTTTTTGGCCATCATTCAACTTAGAAAATTTTAACTTTTACTCTCAGGGAGGATAAAGAGGAAAGAGAAAGTCACCACTAGAGAAAAAGGCAAACAGACCTCTGTGTATCAGTCTATTTAGCGCCTTCGCACTCCCTTCTTTCCTCTTCCTCTTTCTCTCCTACAGCTTTTTCGTTTACTAAACAGAAAGGTTCTCTTTTCCTCTCTCTCTCTCTCTCTCTCTCTCACATACCGAGCCTCAATTCATTTCCATCTCTCTGTTTCTCAATTTCTCACAATCCTTCTTCTTCCAATTCACCCCTCTCTATTTATGGTTTGTCTGATGTAATTCAGAAACCATTCATTTCTTATTTCGCTGTCTTCTTTAGAATTCCCTTCGTTTTGTTTCTGGAAGATTCTTGATCGATCTGCACCATGGACAACGATTTCTTCCTAAATGCCGCAGCTCTGCACTTCGAGCCTTCTTCGTCTTCCTCTCCTTCAATGCCCACGTGGCATCATTCACTCTCCTCCTCCTCCGCCATGGATATTCCTGTTTCAAGCTCTGAGCAACCCCGACAACAACAACAGGACTGTTTCTACAACCCCACATGGGAAAAGTCAACCTTGGATCATCATCATCCCCACAACCACCATGCCCTTCAGTTCGATTCTGCGTTGAGTTCAATGGTTTCTTCTCCGGCAGCTTCTAATTCCAACTTGTCCAATGACAATTTCGTCATCAGAGAACTGATTGGGAAATTGGGGAACATTGGGAACTCCGGCGAGATCTCTTCTTACATGAATGGAAATAACAGTGCCAACACTTCATGTTACAGCACGCCCTTGAGTTCTCCTCCTAAACTGAACATTCCTCCTCCATTGATGAATAATAACCAGTTGATGAAAGATAAATTACCAATGGCTTTGAACTCCAGTGTGGCAGAATTCTCAGCTGATCCTGGATTTGCTGAGAGAGCTGCCAAGTTTTCTTGCTTTGGAAGTAGGAGCTTTAATGGCAGAACTTCAACGCAACTTGGGATGAATAATAATGCTGACTTGACACAGAGATCTAGTCCATTGATGGAGAATGGAAAGCTTTCAAGAGTATCAAGTAGCCCATCGCTGAAAGCACTTGGATCTCAAATGGACAATAAGAATTCTCCGTTAAATTCTCAGGAGGAATCTACAATCTCTGAGCAAAACCCAAACGTGGAATCGGGGGCGAAACCTTCCCCTCCTGACATGAATTCCAGAAAGAGGAAAGCTTCTTCCAGGGGAAAACCCAAAGAAAATCCTCCCAAGGTATCTCCTCATTTCTCTGTCAGAACTATCTCAGTTCCTTCTTTTTTTATTTTTACTTTTCTTCACAGTCAGAAATGATATCTCCTCTCACTTTGTCTTGGATTATTCCTTTTGCAGGAAATTTTAGTTTTTAGAGGCAGCCCCTCATATTGACTTAATTTAGTTCAATTGCTTATGACACTAAACCAAAAATTTATTAATATTGAACACTTTCAAATATTAAAGAGATGTTCCTACCAACTTTGGGTTATAGTGCTTTTGAATCAGACTAGAAATTCCTAAATTCAAAGGGTTCGTCTTCCATTTCAGGCTGCTGAAGCCAATGAAGATTCAAGTGCAAAGCGCAGCAAGTCAAATGAAGGGGAAGGACATGAAAACGGACAAGTGAAGGCAGAAGAAGAGACAAAAGGAGGTAACAACAATGGAGGGGATGAGAAACAGAACAAGAGCAACAATTCAAAACCTCCTGAGCCTCCAAAGGACTACATTCATGTCAGAGCAAGAAGAGGTCAAGCTACTGATAGCCATAGTCTTGCTGAAAGAGTAAGAATCAGTGGTTATTTTACTGTGTCACCATGAAAAATCACACTGGAAAAAAAAAAAGTATTGCAGGCTTCATATTGACATTTTATAAATACACAACAGGTAAGGAGGGAGAAAATCAGTGAGAGAATGAAGCTTCTGCAAGATCTTGTACCTGGTTGCAATAAGGTCCGTGCATATAAGCTAATTCATATTATGGCTTTCTTTGTGCTCAAATTTGATGCTTGATCATGCATACTAAATTATGTATAAACCATTCCTTGTAGGTCACTGGAAAAGCTCTTATGCTTGATGAAATCATAAACTATGTACAGTCATTGCAGCGCCAAGTTGAGGTAGAATCAGGCTTGGTTGGTCAAAATAAGCTTTCCCCCCCCCTGTTAAAATCATGATCATAGCTAATTATAATCGCTTTTTTTCTTTCTTGCCAGTTCCTTTCTATGAAATTGGCCTCCGTGAACAGCAGGCTAGATGTGAGCATTGACAATCTCATCTCAAAAGATGTGAGTTTTTCCGGGGCTCTAGGCATCATGGGTCTGGCTACTTTATCAACAAAGTTTCTAACTTTTCTTTCCCTGGATGGGGATGTGCTTATTTGGCTTTTTGGGTATTTCAGATATTTCAATCAAATAACTCTTTGGCACACCAAGCAGCAATGTTCCCCTTAGATTCCTCTGCCACAGCCTTTTATGGCCCCAATCCAGCAATCCACGATACCATCCCTAATGGAACTGAGACCCACTCTATGGAATCTTTAGATTCTGCTCTCTGCCAAAGCCTTGGCTTCCAGTTACCCGCTCTGAATGGGTTAAATGGAGGTGCTTCTCAGGTATTGGATATCCTTCCATCCGCTTTTTTTCCCCACAAAAACTGAAAAAATGGTAAAATTTTTTATGTTGACTGATATTGAAATATATATGTGAATTCACTTCTCGTAAGTTAGTTCTGTTACTGTAATATGAGATTTATCTGATTCTTCTGGCATTGATTTGCAGTATCCAATGACCTTTTGTGAGGAAGACCTCCACGCCATTGTTCAGATGGGGTTTGGTCAAACAGAAAATAGAAAAACACCAGCACAATCTCCAAGCTTTAATGGTAATACAGAAAGAGCAACATATTTGAAACATTATGTTGTTCATTTGGCCAAACAAGATGATGATACTTACGATACTTTTTTCTTTCTGGGGTCCGATGCAGGTTCAAGCCAGATACCCCATATGAAAGTTGAGCTCTGATCAACATTCATTATGCTTGAATTGAAGCCCAGAAGAATATAGGAAGACTGCTGTAAACAAGAAAAAGATTTTAATTCAACCAAACCCATGAATCATCATTAAGCCGCCACCACCATCATCATTGGGTCTATTCAATTGAAACCACCCTTTTTTTCCTTTTCTTATTCTTATGGTATTTTCTCTTTTATCTGATTCTCTCTGTGATGCTTTTGATTCCTAATCTTCTGGGGGCGATTCATTTCATTTTTCCCCTTTTTGTATAACAATTCATGTAAAATCTTAGGACCAATTCTGTATTCTCTGGTGCTAGTTCTTGTTGTGGCACCAATTGTAAGATATAGTGCTAATTAAAGAAGGAGTTCTTTTTCCCCCCTTTTCCTTTTCTTTTCATTTGCTGCTATCTTGTTATATTATTCATTATTGTGTAAATTTATATAAAAAATTTCATTAACTTTGCATAGTTCAAACATCACATCATCAACCCACTGAGAAGTTTAGTGGGTCTTCATAATTATAATGATCTCATTAGAAATGTCATGTCAATTAATCTCTGCGTAATCTGGTGAGTATGATTCTCACTTGGTGTTGAAACCAGCTGGAATACTAGTGGGTTCTTTTTTCTTTCTTTCTCTGCTTTTAAAACTCAGAAGTCTAATTAAAATGATTAGGATATTTTTGTTAAAACTTGAGAAGTGGTCAACCATAATTTCTGGCATTTTCTTGGGTTCTCTGTAAGCTTTCTTTTAGGTTCACCGAAAACAGAAGCTTCGCTGCCTTTTCACTGTGCAGAATAGAAAATTCAAAAGGACAAAGGCCAGAGGTTGGAAGTTATAGGTTGGAAGTTAGAACCACCACCTTTTTATTTGGAGGACAATTGTATCTAATGATCCAAATTGGAGAATCTTAATAATTACAGCTATTTTATTATCAAATATTGAAAAAAACTGATGATAGCAAATCTAAATTTGTCATCAAATTTGATTTAAATGTTCCTAAATAGATGTAAATTTTTAGAAACTTTTATTTTTAAATTATTAAATGTATGAGCCGTTACATATACTTTCTTGGAAAAAAAAACTAGTTTCAACTTTCAATTGTACTTCAAATAGATTGCATAATTTTCTTACCTCAGTTGACTATTGAATAGTTAAACTTTTTTATTTCCAAGTATTATAATCCTCAAAAGAATAAGCAAGAAGTGTAATAAGAATATTTTTAATCAAAATACTTAAAATTAAGTTAAACATGATTATATTCTTAAAAAATCATATATTTTAATAAAATTGAGGGGGGAAATGCATAATTTGATGTTATTTTCTGGAACCCCAGGTTGGCAGTGGTGATATTCTGACTAGGACCAATGAATCAAAGAGCTTTAATGTCACCAACTTTTAATATGTATTCTAATAATTTTTGAATAAGAAAAGATGTGTAGTGGAGTTCAGGTTTGGAAAGATACTCTCAAATTAATAATTAATATTAATTATTTTTTTAAATTTTTTTCCTAGTGGTTGTTAGCAAAAATCCAGATTTTAGGGCTTCACAAAAGATTTCTTGGTAGACCCATTATTTTTATTGTTGTTATTATTTAACTGAAGGGTCTATTATTGGTCTGCAGATTAGTGTGATTTAATTATTAGTAAGATGCTTTGAATGTGGTGCTGTATTCCAACATAGTTTATTATAATATATTAATTTATTTTTGTTTTACCTTCAAAAGAAGATAAAGAAATGGTAACTAAAAAATTGTTAAATCTGACAACAATGTCATATAGAAATTTCCAATTCTCAAATTATACAAAGACGTGTCCAGTGATTGATTGTGAAATATTTTTTATTTATTTTTTATTTATCTTTCTCACCTGTTCATGTTGTTATCTTGTGCTTTTATTTAGAATATTTGTTTTAGATTTAAGCCAATCACAAGGGCAATTAATTAATACTCATTAAAAAAATAATGTTTTTGTGAATAGCGAGGATTTGATTGTGGGTTGAGTTAAATGCCTAATCCAACTTAATTTTAATATGGTGTACGAAACTATCGTAAAATTTTGTCTTAATTATTACGCACCTGTAATTATTTATTGAATTTCCCTTTATATGTGGAAAATTCCAATAATCTTTGGATTTAATTTTGAAGCAGTTGATAATGCAATAATCTAATAATACATATAAATATTTTAAAAAGATCATATAGCATATATTATAATTAAGTAATTTATTTAATCTTTTTAAATTAATCAATTATGTCTCATATTAAGGAAGTAGCTGATAATTTAAGAAAAAAGTGTCTAGAAATCAAATTGAAGGAACAATAAATGTTTTTTAGAGAATTGCTGAAAAACCCTCCATTGAAATTTTTATTGCCTAAACGTATTTAAAATTTATTTAATTAAAGACCTAGGTCCTTAATCAGATGCGGCTCATTTTCAGTGATGTGTAATACTTTTCCGGTCTTAAATATAAGACCCTTATACACACTAGTATAATGATCTTGTATTTAGAATTGGAAGAGTATCTTTTTAGTCATATATGAGTGATTTCTATTTTGTCTCTTAAATAAGATATGCGCAACTTATTTTTATTGGGCACAATTTTTTTTAGCTATGTGTAATTTCTTTTTACTTGTGTAAAAGTCTTCAAAATAGAAGATATTTGTATACAAGTGAAGATTGAAACATGTAACTGAAGAAAATTTTCATATGCCTAAGAACTTGGATACTAAACAAAATTTTAGGTGCCTTTGTGTAATAAATATTTCAATGAGGGATTTTTTTTAGCAATTTTTTCCCTAATTTTTTGCTATGAAAAATATATGAGGGGACAAAAAGGTTGGTTTGAGCTGGTATCCTTATTAGCATTAGTGGGTTAGTGCCCCATCAACCTTGCCCGACAAAATAAAAACAAACATAGGAATTGCCTTGATCTGACAAAATTATTCATAAGTAAATAAATATGAAATGAAAAAAGAAAAAAATGGAAACTAATAAATTTTTTGTACATTTATTTAATAATTGAAAAATATTATATATTTCTTTTATTCATTCATTCATTCATTCCTTTATCCTCATCCAAAACGTTTTTATTTTCTAGTGAATTATTTGCATAAACATTTCCAAAAGTTCTTCCGCATTGTGATTTATTTCTTCTTGTTTTTTTTAAACAGAGCAGACGATGATGAGTTAAGTTTATTTAATTGGTTTTAGAAGTAGAAACCTAAATTGATGTAGTATAAGATTTATAATCTTTTAGGATTTCAAAATAATTTTTTAAATTAATTTTAAAATGTCATCCCAAAATGTTACCCCAGAAAATTACTTTTTTTTAAAAAAAATCATTAACATCTTCATTTTTATAACCAAGTCTTAAAAAATATGTTTGCTCAGTTAAAATTCATAAACCAAATTTATACCTTAATTAGGAAATAAAACATAGGTTTTCCCAAATAGGAGAAGCTTATTAATTATATCAATAATTGGTACCTTGATTTTTCTTTTTTTTTTCCTTAAAAAAAATTTCTTTTTCTAGCTGCTCATATCAATCACCTAACTTGCTATTCAAGAACTAAATAAAGTAAAAATATCTGGTGAGTTTTACTGAAATGGGGTCATTCATTTACCAAATTGTGGATTCAAATTTGCAGTTCAGTTGTCATAATCAAATGAAACATCTAGCAAATGTCCATACTGAGATGATAAAAAATTGTATTTGTAATTTTTATTTATAAATATTCAGAGGAAATTAAGCATCTCAGTAAGACAGCCCAAATTTTATTTATTTGATTTTAAATTTTTGAAAGAAACTTTAAATTACCTAAATTAAATCTAATTTGAACCATCTAAAAACCAAATATATATGAACATTGAGATTAAAATTTTTTATAAAAAAAATAAAGAAGAAGACGAAGAAGAAAATGAGGGCCTACCAAAAAAAGGAATGTCTGTTTTTGGGACAGTTTAGAAGGAACTTAAAATGATGATTAGGGTATCAGCTCAAAAAAAAAAAAATGATGATTAGGGTAGGTGCCCTACTTAACAAAGGTGTCATTGTTCTATCACCCACTCTCCCACTTTCACTTTTTGGTCCCTTGAACTATTTCACCTCTTATAATTATCAAAGCAACATCAATAATTAAAACTCACATGTTTTTTGTATTTATTGAATAAAGAAATTTATTCTTTTTCATTCTTATAGTTTTATTCAATTCTTAAATTTATTTATCTGGTGCAAAATTTTATCATCATTTTTGTTTCAATTCATAATCTTTTGAATTAATTCGATCTCTAGTGTTTTTTTTATATCCTCTACAATTGATGTTATTTGGAGATGTAAACATATGCATACGAATAAAATTAATTTACTGATATAAAATTAATTGAATAAATTATACACACTTTTTAAAATTTTATTATAACTACTTATTGGTCAAAGTATATGCACATCTCTCCAAACCAAAGAAAAGAAAGTTACTCTCCATTTTAGTCAAGTTACGTTTGTTTATGAATGATATTTTTAGTAAAAGCATTCTAAAGTAAACTAAAGTGTCTGATAAATTTTCTTAAAAAAATTGCATATTTTGAAATTAGAAAAATTATACATGATAAATATAAAATATAAAACTTCAAAGTGCCATACTATTTATACCATGATTATGGACTTTGTGGTGTTTTCATTCTTATAATTTTAATAAGGTGTAAATAAAAGAAAATAATATGATTTCTGAAAATTTTATAAATTATTATATCTCCCGTGCATGCACGAAGAGAAATATATCAAATTCTAATCAAATTTAAGAAAATTTATATAAATTATCTTTTATTTTAGGCTTTTTATTGCAATTAGATCTCATCCAAGGGAATTAAATATAAAAAGGTCTCTTAAAATCATGAAATTATTCTGAAATTTCAAAGGACCTTTTTGTAATAAATTTTATTTGTTTAGTTACCAAATTATCCTTTTTTTTAGTTTGTATTGACAACTGAAAAAGCAGTGATTGACAACTCAGGGTGTAAGGATTGACAACTATTGCGGCTGGTTTGACAATACATTTTCTTAGCATATCACAAAAGATTAAGCATGAGTTTTCAAATCAGCTGCGATAGTTGCCAATCCTGACACCCTGAGTTGTCAACCACTGCTTTTTCAGTTGTCAATGAAAACTTAAAAAAAAAGAAGAAGAAAGGTAATTTAGTAATTAAATAAATAAAATTTATTACAAGAAAGTCCATTAAAACTTCAAAATAATTTCATAATTTCAGGAGACCTTTTCGTATTTAATTTTTTTTGAGTGTGACTTAATTACAATTCTCCTTTTTAAAAAACTTGTGTTAAAGAACTTGTGTTGGAGGGAAGAAACAAGGACACTCTGCAAACTAA